AGATTTTCTTCAGCTGTTTTGTTTTATTTCTTATTTCTCATTGTTTCTAGACTTGCTTTGTCTAAGCAACTGAAGCCCTTTGTTTGAGATAACTGTATTACTTTCTTCTTTCTTTCTTTAGTGTTAATTTTAGTACTTCCCAAAATATTTAAAAATTTGAAAATGTATTCCATATGTGCCCGTCAAGTGCATGTTACTTCAATTAGAAGAGTCAGAATCGTGAGAGGAAATGAAGTTCTTAATTTGAATTATATTCATTTTTTGGAGTGTCAGTGACACATTGGTAAGAAGAATCTTGATATGATGCTTGCCTCAAATGTTGCATATCCTTCTTCTTAGAGGTATGAGTTAACTGAGCAACACAGTTAGCAAGTGTGGACTATAGTGCGGTACTTAAAGGAACAGGGAAGTGCTTGGAGTAGTAGAAAACTCCTTTTGTACTAATAAGAGGAACATTTTGTTTTTTCGTGTATTTTTGGAGATAGGACCAATGACTGGATACTCTTTGTAGAAAAAAATGTTGAAAGAGACTCTACCTGTTATCACATCAAATATTATATAACCAGCCAGCTTAGTTCCATCCAATTTTAGGAACTACTTAAATTCTTACTTACATGTAGGTGAGATTTACATTTTCCCTTTTTCTCCCTGATTAAACATGTTCCTTACTAGTCCTTCACGTGTTTTCTAATTTATTTTCTTATTATTTTATTTTTTCATTTTTGACAGATTAGTGAAGCAGAGTTGACGTCCTTGAGTCAACAGAGGAAGATTGAAGAACTTGAAGCTCAACTTCAGGAAGCAGAAGATATTGTCAATGATCTCAGAGTAGATCTTAGAGAAGTTCAGGCTGAACTTGAGAGGGTGGCCAGCTCCGAAGAGAAGGAAGTACAGAACTTAGGGAAAGATGACACTGCTACTCCTGTAGAACTACCTGAGGAAAACATAGTTGTGTTGCCTCCAGAATCTCAGAAGGAGTTTTTGACAATTTCTGACACCAAGGCTCCGAATATGAAGCAGAACAATCAGGGCAGTCAGTCATGTAGCAAAATGGTTCAAATTGGAAAACCTTACGTTGCAGGTCCAGATTTACCCTCTATCATTTTGAGAAGCAAAGTGCCAGAGTTGTACCGAAATGGGTGTACGCAGAGAATTCGTGCTTGTGAAGGAAACCTTTTAGATGGAGATATATCTGTTTCCAAACGAGAAAATGAGAATGGTGATGGAATAGATGAAGGTGAAAGGATCTGTTCAGCACCTAATCATAAGGTTGATGATGCGGTTAATCCAGAGGAAGAGTTTCAACAAGCAGATGACTTGCTTAGCAGCTGGCACCTTTTGAAATCTTTTCGCCGGAAAAGAAGAAGAGCTGTGAGAAATAGGAAAGTCGATTATTCTTCACCAACAAGCAGTTCTGATCATTTCCTGAATGTTGATAAAACGTCGAACACTGGTGGCTTGAGAGCTCACTCCAGTACTGCTGGAGATTGTCCTCCTGATGAAGATCCTTCTCAGGTGGGACAGAGCTTGTCAATAGAAAAGGCTGAACCAGACATGAAGCTGGGATTGACTGAAATGGATGGAACTGAACTACAGTCTGCTGAAACTTCTGGCGTTCTAAATGCAACAGTCAGGGATGAGTTAGTGATGGCAAAGATAGATCCTCCAAGACAAGGAAGTAGATATTTAGAGAGTTTAGAAGTTCCTGTTTACAGAACCGATCTTGAAAACATTAGCCGTCAGTTATTTAACTCAGAGTCAAAGACATCTGATGCAAATGATGAGGTTCCTAGCCAAACTGTGAATGATAGAGTCATCAAATACACCTTTCAAAGAAAGAGGAAGAGAGAATCGTTGAGTGTATTAGAAGAGAATGCTCCAATCAAGAAGATCTCTTCAAAGGAAATAAATGGAGAGAAACAAAATGATCTGGAGCCAAATATGTCAAGTTCTGTGACAGAATCATCACGAGACAGTCGCCGAGTGGCACAGGTTGCACGGCAGGTTGGTTATTTGCTTATTTTGTCCTCATAGATGTTTTTTATGCATGTCGATGTTTATGCATGCATAGATGTTTATATATATACTTGCGGTTTGTATGAATATGACATGCATATTGCTGTTTGTATGAATATGCTTGGTGTTTTTCTATTGGATGAAAAAGAATTCAGGACATCTTTAAAAAGATTAGCAGCTGATATAATAATAGGTATCGCATTTGGCCGTATTGTTCTAGTATCTTGCTAAATTGCCAACATCTCTGATGTGTAACTTCTAACTCTCGAGTTTTCAAAGATTTTCATTTTCTGAAAACTCCTTTTTAAGGAACGGCAAGGTTTGACCCCCCTCATCACTTCTACCTTGCTCTTTATTCTTTGGGAGAAACTAGCGTAGTCATTCAATTACATGGTTTTTATCTTATTTCAAAAAGTTGTTCCTGAAGAGTGTTGGTGCACATCAAGAGACCCAAAGTTGGTGAACCAAATGTTTGTGATAACCAGTTAGGTTTCAACTATGGTCAGAAAGTTGTGTTTCAGGGCATTACCAGTTATTCAGTTTGTCACGAGTTCCTCCTCCAGCTATTATTGTGTGGCTAGTAAACCCTTAAATTCTTAGAAGACTAAAGAATTATGCATACTCAATGAGTGATTTTATGCACATGAAGTTTCTCATTATGGAATAAAATATTTCCACCAGGATAGAACTTCCAAGGAACTTTTTAGAGATTATGAAGGTATGAAATCAAATGTTTGCTACAAGTAGCAAGTTTTAGCTGGTTTGAATGTTGAGGGTGTAGTATATTTAAGTAGCGCTAGCAGGTCGTCTTGATGTTCTTCTCATTTTCACTATACATTTATGTGCTGCAAAGCTTGATAAACGCCGATGGTTACTCGCTCCTGGTTGCTCATCTTCTCTATTTGTTTTTGGCAGCTAATTTCTTTGTCAGAGAAGAAGTGGTGGCAGTGAATAAAGAGTTCACGTCTTCTGTGGTGAAACATGACTAATGGCATCTGGCACAAATTCATGAGCTCTACCTTTTGCAGATCATTCATGAAGAATTTGACGGATAAGGAGTAAGAGTTGTTAATTTTAAGGCATGGCATCTAACAACATTGTATTGTTCGGATGCTGTCGAACTAAGTTACTATATAATTTTCAAACTTAGACATTGTTCAGCGTTACTGTTTAATTATTTTTTATATTGAATCTCAATATTCAGATACATCATTTGGTTCCTATATATAGTGGTTACTTTGATGACTAGTAAGCTCCGTCATACCAAATAGCTGCTGATTTCTGTGTTTCTGGGTCATTATTGAATTGCTTGAAATTTGTGAAAAATTGGTCAATCCGTTGGTATCTGTCTGTTAGTCATTTGAATAAACATGACGCATTATTTCTCGTACAAGTGATTCCATATACCAACCCATTTAAAAGCTAAAACAAAGAATGAAAGGCAAATAAGGTAAAGCATATTGTGAGATAAACCCTGAAAATGAACACCTACTTATGGACGGTTTAATAAGGAATGATAGTAATTTGATACTAACATTTTTCTTGCTTTCACAATTAAGATACTGATGCAGTACAAGATTTTCTCTTTTTCCTAAGTGACATGAAGCACCAAAAAAAAATTCTAAAATTACACATCACAACTCAACAAACGCTGCAAACCTTACCTCTTAAAAAAGGGATTCTTTTGGACTAAAATATGCATCAAACGACAATCACTTTTTCATAACCTTATTACATTGAAGATAGCCTATACACGTCAATCAATAAAGTACAGTAAGATTTTCTATAACAACATTCATATGTAACAACACTTTATTATTAAAGTCAAGCTTTTTAGGAATTAATTTTTATATTATATTATAATATATGTTCTATATAACAGCACTTCGCTATAACATTCAAAAATATTCGTAACAAACGATACTGTTATATAGAAGTTTGACTATAAATAAATATATTTTGTGGACCAACATAAGTAAGTAACATATTTGTACTTGGGTTCAAAGTTCAAACATCCTCCTAGTCCTCGCGGATTTTGACCTTATACTAGTTGACCAAAACGACGGCACTTCTTGAAACGTGTGGCCCGACCGATTCGATCAAGTATAAACCAAAAACTTTTTTTTATTATTTTAAATTCTCGTTCAGTTCTAGTTTTAGCTCGTCAAGGAATTGGGGGATTTCTTGCCCATTGCGAGAAGTTTGTGATGGGGGTGGTGGGAAAAGCAGGGGATTGGGCATTTAAGGCGTTCTCGGCAGGGCTGGGCGTTGCCACCATTTTCTTTGCTGCTTCTTTCTCCCTCAACGTCTATCGTGGTCTCTCTTGGCATAATCGCCAATCGGTAATCACTTTCATTCCCATACTTCTGTCTTTTTTTTTCTTTTTGTTTCATAAACCCTAGACCTCTTTGATTTCAATTGTTTTTCCTTTCTTTTATTCTCTTTGTTTTTTTACCCCTTTGAAATTAAGTTCAAACATTACTAACTACACTGATGTTACAACTTCACATTCAGCAGGCTTTACTTTCTCTTGTTTGGTTATATGACAGAAATATCTACTTACTTATTGCTCTTCCATTTGTCTTATGATGGGAGATGTAGTAGTATTATGATTGAACTGCTGGGTCAATATATTCTGCAGCTCATATAAGATTCAAGTTTATAGTTTTTCATATCCCAGTCGTCTTTTTGAGGGATTTAAGGATAGTTCTGATCCTAAACTATCATTTACTGAAAGCACACACACAGTATCTCTAGGTTGCAAATGGGGTGCCACTTCTGCTTCAATAGTATGTTGGGTTTAGGTGACACTGCAGTCTGTGTTTTCAAGCATGAACTACTTATTGCACCCCCTTTAGCCTAAACATGTCTTAGTTCTATCCCGGAATCGTTTTGTTCTGGTATAGTTGGATAGTTGCTTGTTCCGCTCTTTTCATATGTACTAGTACTAAATTCTGATCAATTCCCAAATTTGTGTTTAAAAATTGAACGATGAATAGAAGTTCTAGATTTGGAGGGAAATTTTTTTTTAGACAAATCGTTGATGTCTGATATCATTTCCTTTCATTCATAGTATAAGTATGGTTGCTTCACAGTTGAATCTGTGTTACTGTCTCAGTTCCCAAATTTGTGCTCTTTGCTTTTGTTTTGCGTTCTGCTTGTGAACTCTTTTAATATTTGCCTTTCGTATTCAATGTTGATGTTAGATCTCTTTTCCTAGATAATTATATGCTTATATTGACATCTGACTATCAAACACTTTTTCCATGGTTGCAAGTCGTTTATTGAACTTTTAGCTCTACTAATCAGCTATTTGATATGTGAGCATTTTCTTCCTGTAGAGGATTGAGAAGGAAGGATCTAAAGTCCCGCAGCAGCAGGAATGATGGTTTTAGACGTCCTATACTTTATACCTCACGTTGCTAGCTGAGTTCATGCTGTAAGTTCTGAATCCTTTTAAATTAGAAATAACTTGAAGACGAGTATGATTTACACATTCTGTCATTGTTATTCATTTACTGTTGCTGGCCACATAATTGTGGAGTTGTAATTCTAAGTAGCTATCTAATTATAGCAGCTGCTGACTTTTAAAATGGAGTTGGAACAATGTTTGAAATTCATATGACGTGAATTGAAATTACTCAATTGGATTAAACTGATTACTCGCTTATGCTTTTTCTGGAAACCAAAGAAATGAAGAGAAAGAAGGAAACTTCTAAAGTTTCTTGGTTGAGTAGAAAATTAGGGAAGGAAATAAAGGAGGGTACAATTTTCCTCTTGGACCCGCAAAATTCCATTTTAAATTCTAGAAAGAAACGTCAAAATATTATTCCTTTTCTTTTGCTTGTTTTCTACCCAAATCAAAGTAAAGAGATTTACTCCATTAATTTTCTTGTTTCTACACAAAGAAAAGAAAATTACTTCACATTTCCTCTTTCTTTTTATCTCCTACTAGCTTTACCCCTTTTCACTAGTTTCTGATCATAGGTTTACAGATTAACCTTCCATGTTCACTGTCATTTATGTGAATTCTTTTGACAGTTTCTTTGAACCCCCAAACTTATTTATCCGCTTAGAAAATGGCCGAAACTGCAAAACAATTTACTTATATACAAGTGAAATTACTTTATCATTGGAAAAAAAAGGTATACAAGTAATATTACAGCCATTTGGTTGGCCGCATAATGAGTTAAAATTATGATAGTCATCGCCAATACTGATGAAGCCGTCCGGTTGATTGAACTTTTCAACGGTGGTTGATCGTTGGGACGACTGCCGGAAGTTTTGGTCTCTTTGAAAAGATCCTGATTCAAAAAAAGATTCAAGCTTGTATAAACAAATAAATTCATCTTACAGCACGTTGATTTGGTAAGGAATCACGGTAAGCTTGGTCTAACCAAGCTCCAAATGTCTTTGTACCAGTTCTCTCCTTTTTTGGGTCATATCCTAACAGATCTTTATGTGGCTGACTATATGTAATACTGGACCAGTGTTTTAAAAGGCGTTTTCGGGGTGACGCCCACCAAAAATGCCCTGAGGCGATGGTGGAGGGCCAAAGTTTCAAGAGGCGTACGCCCAACAATTTGTAGTGAGGCGTAAGCACAAGAAACTTGTAATTACTCAAAAGTTTTAAATTTAGAAGTCAAGACCTTTTTTATTACTAGAAGCCTTGACTTATGGTCTTTTCTTGTCCACTAGTATACTACTATCTCCCAAAAGCAATAAACATTTTTTTTTTTGCAAAATACAAAGAAAACTCATTCTAAGTTCAAAGTTCAACTCAAGTTACTTGCGCATGTAAGAAGCATATAATGAATTATTTTAACTAGCTTTTTGTGGTGATGGAACACATCTATATATATGTTTCACTTATTTATAATTTTCTTCATTTTTATACAATTTTACCTATTTAAAAATATTTATTATAATTATATTATTTTATGAAATATTAAAATTAAATATTCATAGGACTTGCGCTCTATGCCTCAGGACTTACGCCTCGCTGAGGCATATATAAAACGCCTCGCCTTATGTTCATGCCTTTTAAAACATTGTACTGGACCGAGTAATTAACCAACTTTTGGGATTCTTCAACTAAAGTAAATGTGTTGCGCTTATCATTTTTGGTGCTGTGCGGAGGGCACTCATGCCCATGACTCCAAAAGGTCCGAAGCAGGATTACACTGTAGCATGGGTTCATCAATATAGACACACACTGGCAACAATCATTTACATATTCGGATATCATTTCAAACCGTATAATGACAATGCATCAAAAAGAATAGAAACCAATTCCTGGCAAAAAATGAAATACACGAAATATCCTTCTATACATGGCCAGTTTTCATATCAGACTTGCCATTAAGTGGTCCTTTCTTTTTCCCATTATCTTTTCTTCTTAGTAATATCAAAACAAAGATATCAAAATATAAACACTAATTCTAACCAAAGTTTGGTTGAATGATCTGGGTAGGCTATGGTGCACTTGGCAAAGCTTTCTGAATGAATAACCCTGGCAAAATATGTAAATCCACAATTATAATAGTAGTTCTAGTAAGAAACTGCTTGCTGCTTCATTTTTTACATCCTACTATAATGTTCAGTCCACGCTGAATTGAGTATTAAACTCGGTCTTCAATCCAGCCTCCAAAGCCTGGAAACAGAAGCAGCCATGGAAAACAGCTTCAGTGTATGTTCCTCCAGTCAAGAAATACTTGTGAAAATTAGGTAAACATTTGAACAACCACTTCTTTGTAGATATTTTTAAGAGGTCCACTATAGTAGTAAGCACCCAAATGGGGCCGAGGTGCGAAGTAATAAATTCTCTAATGCAAATGTGTAAGCTACAAAGTTTTAACAACAGCACATGTTCTTTAGTGTGCATTAATTACAAAGATTGCAATCCTCCCAACAACCCCTCACATGAAAAATAATGGGCAGTTGATTAAAGGAGGACACTACAGTTGGTAGTTACAAAAGTTATGACGAAAAGAAGTGTTCTGTGTGGTCAAACTTCTCTCGGGCCATTCCATTCGATTTCTAGAAAGGATTACTAATCCTTACTCCCTCTGTCCACAATAAGTACCAATTATATAATCAAGAAAAAATTTAATTTATTTTTTCAAAATTATCTTTATTTACGTATCCCTAAAAAGTTTTTTACTCCTCACATTAACTATGCTGCACATTTAATTAAGGGTAATTTAGTCACACTATCTATTTTTGTCTAGAATTTTGTATTTTCTTATGGGTGTGACAAAGCAAATTGGTCACTTATTGTGGACCGGAGGGATTAACTTTTTAAGCATGTAATGGTGGGAAGGGTAGCACAAAAGAGGCACCAGAAACTGACTATGCACCCAAATCCCAATTGCAAAATTTTATCCATATATGTGCCCGTTGCATCTGAAGCACAAATTCCATGTTCTCTACTAGACATGCTGACAATTAATGCAAACAAAGAAGTTGAGATATTTATAAAATACCTGACATAAACTATCATACACCATTTCGCAAATTTTTTGAAACTCCACCGATCGAAGGTTCAGAAATTCCTTGGGGGTCACCATGAATTTCAGCTAATGGGTTCACAATAAACCCACGACTACTATGGAGCCGATGTCTCCTATGCTCCAACTTAAATCTTTCACCAGCTTCGTTGCTTATAACACCTACTGCTGATGAGGCTACTCCAGAAGCAGAAAAGTGTGAAGTTGCGCCGCGATCTTCTGTTCTCTTCCAAAGTTTTGAAGTCAAGAATTCTGCACCTGGTAGCTTGCAACACGTGGCTGCAGAGTTGGTTTTTGACATCCTTCCATTTGACATAGCCAAGTCAAATGAGATTTCATCTAATGCCAGCTCCAGACCATGAACACGTGTCTCCAGAGAACGCATGCCATTTTGTGAGTTCCCCATAAATTTCTAAAAACGCGAGAAGAAGAAAAGTTTGAGAAAAATGCTCAAGGAAACATCTATGGTCTAATTAGGAGAGCTAAGATTTAGGAAATAGTGATCAGGAGCATTTCTATAAGCTCAATATATTCGTTAAAAAAATCCTAGAAATTGATAATTAGTCTGGAAGAGCTTACCAAAGAAACCATGAGAGCAGCATATAGCAACATTTTGATCCAAGGGAACTAATACATTACTTTATCAAGATCAAAAGGAACTAACCTAAGACAGGAGAAAGTCAAAAGTTTGGGATTGACTCTGCCGGATTAAATCATTAAAGTAAAAGCATATTTTGTTGCATAAGAGTAGGTACTAAACAAGGACTTAACTCTTTTTGTATTTCATGTTTCCAGTATATCATTGGAAGCAAGGAAAGAAACTCTGCCATTAAAGATATAATAAGTGCAGGCAGTTAATGAGAATTAGTGATACTTTGTGTTCTTTTTAACTGATATTTTCATTTACTCTACACTAGTCCCTCATGAATCGAAATTACAGAAGCGGAATATCATCAACTATTAGAAAATTACCTGCAGAAGCTCTAACAAATTGGACTGCTGAGTTTCAATTTGAACCAGTTGTTTTCGGATCAGAGAGAGATCTTCACAATCTTTTGGGTTCCGACAGAGATCTCCAGTTCCATTACTCACAACTACAGTAGCTTCTGATATCTCATCTTGATACGGAACCACACGAGATCCAGCCTTCACCACACCATTCTTGGTTTCATTAGTGATCTTACTGAAAAGAGTCCGTTTGACTTCAGGTCTTTCATGTGTTTCCAACTTGTCTTTGCCCAACTTTATCCCATCTTTATTTTGGTGATCATCCTCAGAAGCGATAGTACCAGAAGAACCATGAGAAGCAGAAACTTCAACTTTCCATGGCTTCTTACGATCAAGTTTGCGAAAGATTGCTGGACTTGATTTCTTTTCACTACTGTCCAGAGGACGACCTTTCCGGGCAGCAGGAGGAGTTGAATCATCTGCTATAGAAGACTTGTTAGCCGGTCTTTTTACACTAGGAGTACTGGAGCTCACAGCCCTGGAAGTCTTCAAACCAGGTGGGTAACGTCCATCACTTGCAATTTCTATTTCGAGGGCACAACATGTAAAACATACTAAATTATTCAGTTTCACAAGTAATGAGCATGGAAAGATTAAAAGTGTGGTATTTTAAGAAGCAATTACACTACCTCATGTAAAAAATAAAATAAAGAAGCAACTAAACTAAGATAAAACAACATCAGCAAACTATAAAATAGAGACCAGTAGCAAAATATCTCATGCTGACTGCACAAACGGAGAAACAAAGCAATATGAAACAAAGTACTTAACTAACAGCCAACTGCTTGCATGATAATCCTTCATGTAGCACAAGAGAAACCAAATCAGAAGATTCAAGGGTTAACATATCCTCCCCAGAACAAAAAAAATAGGAAAAGGGTAAATTAAAACTTGTAATAATCCTGGACAAAATTAAAACGTAATATTCTTGGCTGACGGACGCCAAAAAAACAAATAAGTTGATCAAAGGACAAAAATAAGGAACTAGAAGGTGGATACAGTTATATCAACTACTGGTATAACCTGGGGAAAAAACGGTAAGAGTGAAAAAAGCCAGTAAAGATTAAATACCTTTGGAAGAGGAATTTGACTGGGGAGGAGGGGAACCATCATCAGACAAATCAGGGATTCCCTTCCATGCCTCCAACATTTGATTCATTGTTTCCCTAACTGCCTTTACCTGTTCAATTTAATCAAATCCATCTTTAATTATCAGGCAAAATTGCACATGTACCAAATAGTAAACAGGCAATGTGAGAAATCAACTTTAACTTCGTTCAAGTAATTCGAAAAAATTAAATGCAATTGGACAAACCTTATCGAATCGTTTCGCTTCAAAAGTCTTCAAGCACGAGGCTTTGAACTCGGATAGAGCGTCTCCTTCGACTACCGCGAGCCTCTGTAAAGCCTCAGCGCTGGCTTTCCTAGCCGCCCAATCATCACTACTCATGAATTCAACCAAGTACGGCACCAAATTCCTCACAATCTGCTGACTAGAAGCTCCTCCCACTGCGATCACACTGCCAATCAACGTAAGCAGTGCTGCCTTCGCTTTGAAGCTCTCACTTTTAAGCAACTTCTCAAATCTCGGCAACGACTTCCTCAAACAGGCAATATCCGGATCTGGCGACGCCTCGATAGCTGCCGCCAAGCACAAGGCGGCGCCGATCTGCGCGTTCATCTCCTGTTCCGTGAAAAGCGCTTCCAGGAACGGCTTGATAATGGAAGAGAACGGAGGTCTAGTCAAGTGCGACGAAATGGAAGCACAAGCAGACACGCAGGCGGCGCGTACGGCGGAATCAGGATCACGGAGGCGGCGAACGACGGCGGTGAGAAGCTTTGAGAGATGAGGAGAGAGTGAATCGCCGTGGTGCTCGGAGAGAAGAGAGATGAGGCGGAGGCATTGTTTACGGACTGGAGATTTATCGGAGGAATCGGTGGCGGCAATGGAGGAAACAAAAGGAGGAATTGTTTCAGGGGAAAGGGTTTTAGCAATGGACTCGAGTTCAGAAGCCGCCGCGGAATGCGTGTCCCGGTCGGAAAGCTTGTGGAGGCATGTGAGTACTCGGTGCTTCATGTCACGTGTTTGGTTCTGGTTCTGCTTACTCTGGACCGACATTTTTGATAGAAGTGAAAAAACCTTAAAGGAGTAACTGTAAAGGTAGTGGTGCCGGAGGTATCTCCGGCAGCATTGCCGCAGCGGACGGTGGTGGTGTCGGTATCTTTTGTGTTGCTATGCTTACGGATTTGGTTTCTCTCTCTTTCCGCTTTTTATAGAGAGAATGGAACTGTAGCGAGGAAGTTACACTTAAGAAACGACATCATCTAAATATCAGAGTATGTCGTACGGTGTCGTTAAATGCAGCCGTCGCGCCATTTGCAATTTCCCTCCATTTATATGTTTGATAATTATTGTCGCATTGTGTGTAATGTATTTACTTGGTTAAACGAAATGGTAAAACAAATAAACTAATTAGTACTAATAGGCATGGCTTCGACATTCTCAGTGGAGGTTCTCTGATTCAGTAGTAGTTACAAAAATCATTTGCAAAAAAAACGTGATTAAGAACCGGATAACAAGACAAAACGATAAAATCAAGTTCAAGCATGTGCATTTTGAGTTGCGTGAAAGTCTTTTACCACAAGTTTTGTTTACCTACCATTCAAAAAATCAAATAAATTATCGTATGTGGTTGCTTCTATTGTGATAATTAGTACTCCTTTAAGAGGTCACTAACTAGACAATAGTGTTTCGGTTGAATATTTCTTTTTCTCTTTTAATCTAATTACTATATGAAGTACTAACTTACCGATTTGTCGTTTCATTTTCTTTTGATGCACGAATCTAGTTTGAATCAATATCTGGTTCGTGACCGATTACTTAAAGTTTAAGTGTTAGTCATACATTTTAGAACAGTTAGTTTCTATTATTTCCAAATTTTTCTTCGAGTTTTATTTTTGAGCATCTCAAAATGTCCACCTTCATACTATATAAAGTAAACTTTTCGACATTTTTTAGTATTTTATTGTAAAAAAGCTGTCATAACATCGACTTACACTAATATAAAGTCGATTCTTTCAAAATTATACCCCCATGTTTTTGCCACTTTCATCTACATAAAATAAGTTTCAACTCCTGCATTCCTGCTTGAATAATTATAAATACTAAAACAAATAAAACACACAAATTTGATCGGAAACAAAATTGTAAAAATGGGTGTGTGCTTCATATAAAGCATATAATTTGTAGATAATTTACGTTACTAGTAGGTGAAGATCTTTATAACCAGCATTACTGTTCTTAAAGAAGCTACACCTCGGTACCTCTATGTTTACTGAAATAAATATTCCAAAAAGCCTAATCCACTCAACCTAGCTATTCATTATGGTCGTTAATAACTAGGTGAAATTTCAAGTGATAAGGAATCACACGGCGGAACTAGAATTTGAACCTTATGAATTCGTCATTATAATCTTTTTAAGTTACTGAGTTATAAATTAATAATTTATATATGTTCATTAAATTTCTTAATACAAATACAATGTTTGAACAAAAATTACTGAGTTTGACCGAACCCGTAACTAATATTATGGCCCCGCTCCTGAAGGGCACGTACCCTACATATACCGTTAGCATTACCCTAGCATCTAGGAAACGTAAAATCTTAAAGATAGGAACACACACAAAAAAAAGACGTGGTACCAACGCCCTAATTGAAGAATTATTTGGGAGGGAAAGTATGGAAATACTATAGATCTTCCTAATTTGGAAGGGATTTAAAAAAAAAGTAAAATAATTGAAAAATTATCCTAAATAGTCGTATGCTTTCTAAATAAAAAATTAACCGATAGATTTATAATATATATATATATATATATATATATATATATATATATATATATATATATATACATATAAAAATTAATTAATATATAATTTATATATACTGGCTAAAAAATTAAATAGAGAATTCGACAAACTATTTCTGTAAAGATTCCATGTAAAAGGTTTTACATTATCTGTGCGGATAACTTTAGTTTTATTTAAAAGAGAGTTAGTTACTAGGAAGAGAATTTGGTTAAATTAGTTAATTAGAACTAAAGTAATGATGTGAGCATGTAAAAAGAGTATCATACAAGTAACAGTATCTACCATCATATTGCTTGATGCTTCTTCTCGCATCATTACCTCTTCATGATTAAGTCCTGTTCGCTAATTAGTGGACAAACGTTCCAATATCTTCTCTTCCTTTTTCTGTGCTTGCTTAATTTGATTCAATTTCACTGCTAATTTTGGTTCAAACGTCATTAAAACCCAGTCTTTTTCTTTGATTGAGTTTTTAATCAAAAAGCATGAAAGAGGAGAATCCAAAACCACCTACTCAGTAAGAAAATATAAGCAACCCCCCAATTGTTTACTATATCTATATATTCTTTCACTTTCAATTTCCGACCAACTATGGTCCCTTCCGACCTTCAAAATACCAACCACACGTTAATGATCGCGTTTTGGACGGTTATTGGCCATTATCGATCTACTTTGGTCGGTTTTTTTGGATGGTTTTTGCCGAATTTCGAGTAGTGTCCTGTTAACTGTTTTTTCTAATATTAAGATCTAAGGATATTATCATTAATTAAGATTAACCTTTGTTTATATCAATTTAATTATTTGAGCCAAAATCATCAAACATTATGCAAGTAGATTAGTCTTAGTTGTAGAGAGCGGTTAGAGTCTCTCAGTCCTTTCACTTTATATTTTACTCTAATGAAAAATCCTTGTCAAGCAAATTAGATCTACCAGTTTAAGTAATTAATTACTCTAAACAAATTGTCAACAGAATTTTAGCATGAATATTTACTAAGTTGATATTCTCATTTTAAAAGTTTATTTTGCTCCATTTTTTCGCGGAGAAGTTCAAGAAAGAAATGGAATAAATTATGTTCCCTATAATAATTTCACTACAATATATAATCTTTAATTTGTAGTAGACATGCATACTTCCAAGAGTAGGAGAACAAAATCCTAATTACACTTGATCGTTAGGAATCTGTGAATTGTTAGGCCAAAATTTATATTATATGGCCAAAGACAAGAAAAAGAAACTTAGAAAGTAGTTACTGAATAGTATTATAGAATAGCATCTTTCGTACAAATAAAATGGTGTGATAGTTGTGGTTTTCTGGTGAACCAACTCAATCTCCAGTTCACCTACCAAAAACTCTTTATACAGATTTATGAGTCATCAGTTTCAAGTTAGCATCTCTTTATCTGTAAAAGAGAAGAAGATAAGACCACCTTTTCAAGGAAAGAGTTCTCAGAAATCTAAGGAATTGGCAATGATTAAGCAGGAAAAGAAAAATATAGTTATACTAATTAATTAAAAAGGACTCTATTAATGACTTTTTACTTACATCCATGCCATTTAAAAAATCCCATCCAGTACCCTTTAGAAAATATAATTAGTTGCTATAATACTTGTCGGCTTATATAGAACAAGCAAGCTAAGAATTTTAAGTTAGCAAAGTAGCCGTAGAAAAGAAAGGAATTCTTGTAATGTAAAAACTAAGATTCTTTATCTAATCCCTTCTCTCCCTTTATCTTTAATCCAAATACATTGACAAAAATAAAATAAAATTGAATAACCCCACAATGTGTACTTTACTCATCATTTTAAAGCTTTGAAACATAACAAACTTTCCAAATTTATATTTAAATATCACCCATTGATTATTAACTGAAATAAAGGTATAGTTCAATTCTTTTTTCCCACTTTCTAACTTTAGTTACATTCTTTCATTACTTAGGCACCCAAGTTAAATAAGATGATCTTGTGAACTTTTAATGTGTGGTGCCTGAATCATAATATGCACAGAGAAGCGTGAAATTTTGCTATGAAGAGACAGAAAGGCAAAATGCTACAATTGCGCTTACAGATTGCCTATATTTGCTATCCTGCGAAAGCCAAATGCAATCTTGTCTAAACTTTTGCATGCTACCTAATGTTTCATTTCGACACCACAAATCACAATATATGATCGTCGTACCTCACAAGTTCCGAAAGGTCAACTACCTCCGACCCCCAATTACGGAAAACCTTTTTTTTTGGGGGGGTTGGGATATTGGGACATGCCAGGCGGAAAAGAGGATTTTTACCTAGGAAATTTAAAAAAGTAAAAAAAGTAAATACGTGAAAAAATTAAAAGAATTCAACATCTTATATATATACATAAAAAAAAATATTAATCTTATATACATAATTATAATTTTCGACAAAGGGGATACTGAACCTCCTTCCGCCAACCTAGCTACACCCCTAGAGACATGATGGAAAGTTTTAATAAGGAAACTAGTTGAGTTTAACTTCAGAAATTTTACATTATCACGCCACATAAAAGATAACTACATGTAATTGTTCATATTAAATTAAACTATATATTTGAAAAACAAGGCATATAACCTACTAATTTAACTATGTTATGAAAATAATTATATTGTAGATGTTCATTTATTACTCTGCTATAGATAATCTTCCTGAAGAAGATTATACATTTAGTATTCTGTTGAAGTTTATCTACAAGCAGCTGATGCGGGCAGGTTGCAAGCAGCCCAATGAAATAATTTGCAGCAGCTTCTTATTAAACAGGCAGGTTGCAAGCAGCTCATGCAGACATCTTACAAGAAGCTAAAGAAAAGCCTTGCAGCTGCTTCCTGAAAAGCCTCGCAACTGCTTCCTTTCTTCTATAAATAGAGGAGTTTCCAGTTCATTATGTACATAAGTTTGAAGTTTGAATAATATATCAGTTTCTCTCTATACTTGTCTTTACTTTAC